GCAGTCTGCAAAGTTGGATTGAGAAGGGTTTACCATAACATGCAGACATTTACAAACAATGTGCATGCAGTAAGGTAGATTCTCCAAAAATCTTACAAGTTTGCAATTTTTACTTGCCTGTTTGTGGAAAGTGTTGACAAAAAAGAACTTATATGTACATCTTTCAAATGTGTGAGCCTTCATGCAGGATTAGTGTCATATACAAAAAAGTTAAAAAGTAATATTCTGATTTTAAACAGTAGTCATCTTCATAAAAGTTCTAATAATCACCCTGTATTTCAGATTTTATAAATTAAATTTTATATATCAATTCCATTACACTGATACAAAAACTTTGGACAAAGTGATGGCATTTTTATTAATGAAAGTGCATTTACTTTGAATACACAGGCGTTCATATTGATGACATTTGTGGATACATGACTGATGAATGTTCATAAACTTGGGAAGGTCCTTTCATAGTTTTGTCAGAAGTTCTGCTTGGATAAGAAACTATTAGATCAACTTATGTGGAGTCCAACTTTTAATGGCTCTTTTGATTTTAAGGCGGATGTGTGGGCTACCTAGTAGACACTTTTTATGGGCCCATCGGCATTTTTGGTTGCCATTGGCTCCCAGGCCCTCACTAATTTGAAGCCCTGTTAATATACATTTATAATTAATTCTTGAATATAACTATGAAAAGATTGTGGCATGCACACTTTGACCCTCCACCGGCATTTTTGGTTGCCATTGGCTCCCAGGCCCTCACTGATTTGAAACCCTGTTAATATACATTTATAATTAATTCTTTGAATGTAACTATGAAAAAATTGTGGCATGCACACTTTGACCCTCCTACATGCATTGAGTTAACTATTCTTCAGTTTCATCTTTACAGTGATGACGAAGGCCTATATATCATGAATATACTAGGCCAGCTTTAGAAAACCAAAAATATCTAAATAGTTTTGTGAATCATTTGGACTATGAATTCAATTATTCATGTTTCTGATATCTCCTGAGATACTGACTCTCCTCAACAGGAGTAACTCACTACTATGATGTATCAAGTGGTTAGTCCCATTCTGAGCTGGGATCCAGGATGCCCAACCTCTTTCTTATGTTGCTTCAGTTGAGCCTGCCCCATCTTTAAATGCTTTTTTGTTTCTTCTTCCCAATGAAGATCAGATAATCTTACCTTCACCTTTTGCTGCTCTAATTACACAGCTCTGGGACACTTTTTTTTTTTGCTCTTTCTCTAGTTGTTTTTTCCTGAATCATGGGCTACCTTGTTGTGTGAGCCTCAATCACTTAAATCTCATCTTTCAACTTGGAGATCTCCTCTTTATCTTTCTTGTCCGTAGTCTGCTTATCTTTGTCCCATTCTTGCTCAACTTTTGAAAGAAATTGAAGCATGGACATATAGTGGATATTATGTTGCAACCTGTTTTCCATTTGTTTCTCAACTTTCTTCTTCCATTGTGTTCAAATTTAACTTTGTTTCTGGATTTACTTAGTTGAAATCTCAGGAGTCTCCATGTTACACTCTTCCTTCATAATAAGGCTGAGGGGTGTTTTGTATACTTTAGAATCTCGAGCTGAAGCAACTTGTCAGCAATGATCTCTGCTCACTTTGGTTTCTCCTATTCCTTGTCGTTTTGTTACTATATGACACCCCCCCCCCTTCCAATCTCAGAGTGTTGTCTATCATGGTCTCAGGAGTACTCTTTCTGGCTTCAGTCCATTGGAAGCTTGGCCCTCCTACTTCCTACCTTACACAGGTGTTTTCTCTGATCTTTAACTCTCCTCCTCTCTGCAGAATATGAATGCTATAGAACAGGTCCTCAACCCCACCTTAGTGTTTTACTCTTGTCTTTTTTGTCAGTGCTTGTGTAGTTTTGTGCAAAATTTACAACAAACCAATCCCAAGTTAACTTGGTGTTTTTGTTTCTGGGTTTACTTGGTTGGAATGCCTTACTTTCTGAAATTTGCCAACATTAATTTTTTCTCAGAAACATCTTTGCTGCACCATTCCACTGTGATGAGGTTTTCTGAGTGTTCTTTATATGTTGGAATCTCAAGTTGAAGGAGCACATTAGCAGTCATCTCACTTTTGTTTCTTGCATTTCTGAGGAGCAGGGGGATCCACCAGCTTTCTCACTCTCAAGAGCCTCATGGGATTGCCTCATTTCCTGCTCCTCATCCTATTGTTACTATCCTCCTTTTAAAAGGCTGGCTGTTGCTGGCTTCAGAGATAAATTTCTCTCCTTCCAGATTATGAATGTTATAAAACAAGTCCTTGACCCCCCATTCTGGGGTTTTATTTACATCTTTGGAACAAAAAGTCAGTTCATGTGTGATAGATCTATGATTGGAAACCAGTCTTTAGTCTCTCAACGTGAAACAACTTTGATTTTTCCTTGTTTCAAGATAGATGTTTTTTCTCACTCTGAGGTGAGTATTCTCTCACATGTGGATGCCAACATCAATGCTTTTTTTCAATTTGTCCACCCCACTGTTCCTTCCTTTGGTTCATCCACAACACTCAAATATTCAATTCAAAGCTCTTCCCTTCAGGTTGTCTACAGCCCTGTATGTTTTCAGTTATATTTGGAGGGCTTTTGCATATAGGATACATTCCTTAGGCTTTCATTTCTAATACTCTGTGATGGATGATTGGTTTCTACTTACCCTATCCAATTAAGCATGTACTGTTGCAACTTACCTTTTCTCTTGGGAGTCATCTTGTTTGGGTTGGCTGATCAGGATCTCCAAATCAGTATTGACCCCCATCCCCCACCAAGTATCTCATTAACTAGGGGAAGGGGTCTTTCTTAATTTGTATGTGGGGTAGGCTTAGCCTTCACCTTTGCATCTTCAAGACTAATGGCATCTGATTAACAAACTTCTCATGTCTTCTTCTCTTCTGGAGCAAGAACTTTTGTCCCTTTTTTAAAGAGAGACTTGAGTCCCTTGTTCCTCTCTGATGCACCAGTATACTTTCTTTTAGTTTGGTGATACTGATCAGTGGAATATGGCTAGAGATCCATGCCTTCTCTTGTGTTACTCTCTCTCTCCCTTTCTTGCTGCCTTGGTGACTCAATTGATCCCACATGATCCACTTGTACTTAAATCTTCTAACCCCCAGTGGTGGTGCAGTAAGTCTGAATTTTTATAATGTTACAAAATTTGAATTCAATACTTATGGTCAGTGCAGCACAGTAAGCACATTGTAAACAAATACACCAAACCTTTAACCCATGCCTCTCTGTCCAGGTAGGGTGCAGTCCTCAAGATATTGGCCACTCATCTCTCTTATCATCTTATCATGATCCATTCAGACAGCTCCACTGTTGTTTTTTACATGAAGCAACAGGGAGACACTAGCTCTCTGAACCTCTGTTTTCTTGCTCTAGACTTTTTCTTTTGAGTCCAAAATCACCACATTCAGCTGTTGGCCTGTCAGGTTTCAGGAGTTTCGACCCTTGTTGCAGATGGACTATCTTACTTAGACTGGATCCTTCCCACTGGGTCATTTCTTCACCAGCTGGTGTTTTCAGTAGATCTTCTCCCACTTTGGGAATCCTCTCATTGCTGCTTTTGCAATTCCTCTCAACAACTTTTTTGGTCTCCAGTCCCAGACTTGTACAGCTCTGACAGTGATGCTGTGAGTCAGAATTGGTCGAATATGCAGATTCCACAACAATCCTGTTATTTGTGTATATATCATATATATATATATATTAGTTATCAAAACAACCCTTAACAACTGCAACAAAAACTGCATAAATTAAAAAATAACTATGATGTGGGATATAAGATGTTTCTTCTAGTGGAGTAAAGAAAGAACCATTGCTTCCCAAGCCACTGGGGAGGTGGATGTGGAATGATCGCATTCAAGGTGAATCTCACTAGTGTGAGCCCCCCCATCCCTCCCTTCATTGGCTCAACAATAAGTCTGTGGACTTTCAACATTTAAATTGGATCATTAGCAGAGATCAAATGGATGCATCCAAACAGTTGGAAGTAGGGCTGGGATGTTACCTGGAAGTATAGTGCAGGCCATCCCCTACTCTATGACCAAACCATTTATATTGGTTAGGCCAGCTGGATGTGTCCTGCACTTGCCTCAGGATGCAGGTTTGAAATGATTCTCTCTGTACTTAATTTTTCTAGTACACATTTCACTTACATATTTCTTACATGTTGTGCAGCTTGACTTATTACCCTAGCCACACTTCACATCCATGCCTAACTGATCACTTGCATTCCATCCACCTATGTGACACTTTAGCACCACACAGAAAATTATTTTGACACTACCTTTTGCTCTCCCACCTTTATTGGAGAAGGATGCTATAATTGCAGAATGGAGCTCCTCTTTTTTTTTTTTTAAGTTCCTTATCTACACCAGCCCCCCACCCCACCACCACCATTTCATCAATATAAGGTTCTAGCTGTCAGTTCTGTGAAAAGGTGAGTAACATTTCCAACGTTAACATTTTCCTAACCTGAAAATATATTTCAGATAGATACTTACCTCTCCTCATGCTCATGGGGTCTATTGTGCATGGAGAATGTGTTGCCCAACTATTGGTGAAGGGCTATAATCTGATGATAATTACATCATAGACTTGCCAATACATATTAATCTGTGTAGGGGTGGGAGTTTTGTTCATGACTTTATGCATGTGTAAAGATTTTTTTCAGTAGTGGTGAAATGTAATAGCTTTTAGTTCTGTGGAGTGGAATCTATCTGAAATACATTGTCAGGTAAGGAAAATCTTAACTTTCAAAGTATTATATTATAAGTCACATTAAGAATTATGGTATATATATAAAAAAGAAATCTGTGTTTTGTTATTTGTATCCACAGCTGAATCTTATTGATGTTTTGGTTATATATATTTATTTATTTTTACCAATTAATCTCTGTAGATAGTTTAGCTTCTTTTTCTAACAGTGATGAAACAGTTTTTTAAAATAGTTGATGCAAAAAAAATGTTCTGTATTTCTAGGTCGCAAGAGACAGTGGTTTACTCTTGAAAAGGCAATGGATGTGTTGGCTGTTCACAAGCCAGTACAATGTGACTACATAAAATTACTCATTAAAAATGACAAAGTGCCATGACATTGGTTCTTTGTGTAGTACATCTCAAAGAAGACAGTGTTTTTTTCATGTCATTGTCTGTATGGTACTGCTCTGTGACCCTCTGTTACCGAAGCATGTGACTTTATAGATTGGTCCTGGGAGAGGGTCCATTTCACTGCTGGAATAGGTGGATCTGGCCTATTTCCCAGATGTTTTCCTGTTATTTCCAGTGCAAGTCCTCTACATCTTTGCTGCCAGTGCCACATGTATTTATTACCCCAAGGCTTGTGTTCCTAAATAGTTGATTTTTTTTATTCTTTTGTGTGTGTGTGTGTGTGTGTGTTTAGTGGCAAGTTGCTTGTCACTCAAAACCAAAAGCTTCTTATCCAGAAAACAGTAAATTGAGTATGTTTCAAAAACCATTACAGTATGACATTTTTTTGGTGTTCTGTAGTTTAAGCTAAATTATTTTACATGCTTCTGGACTAAATCTAATTGTATCTAACCTGATATGGAATAATAATTATTTCTGTTTAGATATAAAGTAAAACTGGTATATTACAGAGCAAAATTCTAGTCTGTGAACTAAAAACTCTTTAAAATTGATTTAACAGTATTAAAAAAAGTAATCTCTCATAGAGTAAAACAAGTTGTCTGTCAGTTAAAACAAACTGAAACTAATCTGTCACTCTGTGATTTAAAACAAAAATGAAAGTCACAACTTGAATAAAACTCTGGCCTGTCAGTCATAAGCAAGGTAAAAGTTTAATACAAAGTACACTAGTAGTTTAACTTAAAAACTAACTAAAAATTGAAGTCATGAAGTATAAGTAAAACTCGATGTGACATGAAGTAAATCTAGTAAATTAAAAACTACTTCATTCATCAAGTAAAAGTGAAACTGATGTGATCCAAAGTAAAAATGAGTTTGTGAATGAAAACAAAAAGTAATGATTGTAAAATTGATGAAAATGTACAATGCTCCAACATATAACATTTATGTAGTTGCATATGACTTCAGGAATTTTGTGTAGTAACAGTTAATCTTTAATCCAAAATGTACTTCAAGTAGGTTAAATGAGGTCTCATAAGTGTAAAGAAGAAATTGCTATAGGTATTAAATTGAAGAGACATACTCAACCATGTAGAATTGTCCTCAAGTCTAGTTGGTTTTGGCTTTTTTTTAGAGGAATGAATTATGTGCAAGTTGACACTAAAAATGTTATTTATTTCTCATGTATTCACACTTGAAAAATTAGTTAATAATGGCCATTGTGGGGAAAATTTCAGCTGTGTAAAAATAAAGGACTGTAGATATGAAATAAATCAATATAAGTCAATGCAGGAAAGCGACAAAATATATGAAATGATGAATTGCTAAATTTTCAAACTTTTCTTTATAATTACTATACCTGTATAACAATCTCTAACAAGTAACTTCTGAGTTGTATTATGATGATCATTAATTACAGTATATTCTATACAAAATATAAATTGTGTTAAGAAAGCACTTAAGTACTGTTGAAAATTATACACTTTAATGGTGAGATCTGAAAATATATTTTGAATTTATGTAAGAACTCTCAAAAAGAGCAGACTCTGAATCTCTACACATCTAGGTGTTTAATGTCATATATGGTACACTTAGAATATCTAGTTTTCTAGTTAATTCAATTTTACTTTTGAATTTTTTAAACCTGGTCAAAATCAAGTCTAAACACAAATATGAAAATGTAATGGTCATTTTTAAATTTAATGAGATATTCTAGCTTCTTATCCGAAGTACTTGATATTACATTTTCTTATTTTATTCTTTTTCTTATACAGTGTATTCAGTTTATAGTGACACCACAGCTAGAATGCATGATTGTTTCATATAAACATCTTCATGATTATTTGTGACAATTGTCATTAGGATGTTATTACAATCTGCTAGAACTATTGTAATATATTAAGTACAGATGTAAAGTAGCTGTGTTTATTAAAATGAAGGAAAAAGAAACAATAAAAGGTTGATTGACATTATATTTAACAAGGTGGTATTGAACTTGGAAGTCATTATTAAAAATTGATAATCTATACCTTTTTTCATAATTGTAAGTAAAGTAAAACTGAAATATATGAATTTAAGATGCTGGCTTTTCTCTAGGGACGAGTTTTTTATTAGATACCTAATATGTTGTCTTTATTTTTCTGTTTGGAGTTATAGTGTAATAAACCTTTTTTTGTAAAGTTAATGTACATCTTGAATGTCTTCAAAATGAAGATATTTAATGAACAAGAAATTGAAATTAACTGAAACAAATATAAAATAATTGATATTTTAACTAATAACGTAAAAGTTCATTTATAGGTGCTTTCAACTTTCAGGATATATTTGAAATGCACTTGTGTTTTTCTAGTGTTACCTTTAAACTATTTTACTTTTCAACAACAAAAAACTAATCAAGAAACAGTCTTATTGAAATAATTCTACAGACATTGCATTATAGCAACCTTTTCATTGAATATAATGCATTGTGTAAGCACTTTGTATGAAAATAGGGAACAGTGTTTTCTTGGACTAGATAGTGTGTGTGTATGTATATATATATATTTAAAACTTAACTTAAAACTTACTGCAAGTAGTTTATTATAGTGTTGTCTAACTGGGGACCTTAAAATTAAAAATAATAGTTACCAATTCTGTGAATAACTGTATGCACTAAACTTCATAGGTTATGCAAGCACTAGTTTTAATTAATTGTTTAGTGTTTGCTCATTTCTCATTCTACTTACCCCCTTTTTTAAATATTTCAATTACGCTTGTTTTATGTTGCCATCACTGACTAAAGATAAACTTAAATTCCAAATTTTTGCAAAGAGCCATATTGGTTAAACAGTGAACACATAAATAACTTATTTCTTGTGCAAAAGCTAAATGTATATAAACACTGCATATTTTGAAGTTGAAAGATTTTTTTAAAAATGTGTTGGACTATTACCTGATTTACCAAAGACAAGTCAGATTAAATACAACTCTCTGATTCTTTGATAGTTCATCTATCTCTCTGAGATAATTGCAGCTAAAATGGTTTATAAAATCAGTTTTCAGTTTTACTCAATTAAAATTCTATGTAATTTAGTTATTGTCAGATAAAAAAAAGTTTCAAAATTAGTCTATTAAATAATTGTAGTTCCTCCAAATGTAATTGTTGACACCAGGTAGTATTCATTCTCCTTGTACAGTATGTTTAAATTTGTGTAATGCATTGTGAAAACTTGAAATTGGTTTGTTGTATTTTTTTTTTTTACATTTCACATAAGTTTGTGAGAAGTGTTGAAAACTTGCTAAGTAATTGAACAAATAAAAGTGTACAAAAAACTGTTGTTGAGATTGTTTATCTGTAGTGCTGCTGTGTTGAATAATTTAAAGTTGAGTACATATATTGAATCATTAATATAGTGTTTAGCATGTTTGTGTTTTGTGTATTTTTTGTAATGTTTTTAGTTATTCTTGACTTTTTTATCAAAACTTTGTATATATATACAGAGGGTGAGTACATTATATTAAAATGAATTTAGTCCATGTCACCACATCCAGCCATGTTCTGTCTGATGACCAATTTAGAACTGGAAAATTAACTTAATTGATATTATTGATTACCTATGAATATTGATTAGTGTCACATAAAATAATTAATAAAAATTACGTCTAAATCAACTGATGTCATGACAATAATCAACTAATATAAATTAGTATTTCTGATTATTACTATTATTGATTATTCTAACTATTCAAGTAGTTGAAAAATTGCCCTTGTGATTTGTCATAATTATTTTTGATTAATTCAAGGGTATTCAACTTAATTGCATATTGTCATGACTCCCAAAATAATCAGCTAATAAATATAAATTTAAATTAATGTTTCAGGTTATTACTATTTTCAGTTATTCCAACTAGTCAAGTCCCATGAGAATAATCAAACAGTTGAGTTTAATCGATGAATGAGCCTGACAATAGATTAGCAAATTCCATTAATCATCCAGCCTTAATGTTCAAGGATCTTGTTCACAATAGCTCTGCAGCATAGTTTTTACAGAGGCTATCATGTTCTAAAGCACACCTTCCTACAGCTTTCCATAATACATCTAATGTACAAGGATTACAGTACTCCAGGGCTTGTTTCAACAGTCTGATCACATGGAAACCCATAAACACTGCATTTAGCAAGTAGACCAGTATGTTTCAGATGGAATAGCATGAATGCCTGTTTCATTCTCCAAGTGCTTGAGTTATTGATGTTGAACAGATGTGGTGGAAGCAACTTGTGTCACTTTTTCAGACAGATCTTTCTTGAATATGTTTGCATACTGTTGTTTGGGCTTGTAGATGATTTTTACAACTGACCCTTGTGTCTGTGGATTCTCACGTGTTACAAAACACTGCAGTTTGCTTACCATGGCTAGGTACAAATTGATCCACGCTCCTTTGTTTTACAATTCCAGTAAGTACAAGGAATATCACTATATTAGAAATTCTAAATCTTTAATCTGAACACATTTTTATGTTTTGGGTGTTTGAAGATTTTGCATTGGAAAGGACTGTTACTTACCCTTTCCCAGGGTCTGTACGCCTCCTGGAATTCCTGGAAACTAACATGCTCCTATAAAAAAGTCCTTATTGTTTAAAAGTCCTGGAAATGTACAAAGGCTTCTGAAAGCTCCTGGAATTAATTTACTATTTTTTAAAAAGAATTGTTTTGTCTGTTTATTTCACATAAACCCAAGAAATTAATATTTCAAAAAATTTTATATGGTTACGTACACATGGATGTACTATTAACCGCCATAACTTAGGCCGTGAGAAATGTTACCGAATTAAATGCTGTCTGTGTTATTCTCTTTAACAATTCACATGTGCGCAATGCAATTTTAACAAATGGTGATTCGTAGATTTGTTGAAACTTAACAAAGCATTGATTTTTTATGCTTAACCAGAATATGCAGATTGGCTTGTAGGTGATGGTGCAGCCAAACACAATGCTGGTTGCAATGTGGGCAAGAAAACCTTCAACATCTCGAATATGGGCAAAATTGCACTTAAAAGTCACATGAAAGGATCCAAGCGCATTGCATTATTTAAACAATGCCAATAAACGATGGGAATTGATAGTTTTATTAGAAAAAATGCATTAACTAGAAGCAATGGGAAATCACCTGTTGCCATTTAATTTGCATGTTATACTATATAAGAATTAATGCACTTAATAGATTCTGCAAGTTAAGTCATTTTTTGTTTATAATTATTTACTTGGCTGTTCATGGAAATTTATTGGTTGAGTCTTGGAAAACTCCTGGAATTTTTTCAACTTGTGGCTGTATGGACCCTGCTTTCTAAAAGCAATCAGTTTTTTGGTGACAACAGGTTACTTGCAAGATGGCAAACAATGCCAAAATGTTGTTCTGATATATACACTGTTTCATCATGACTTCATATAAGTCATGGTTGTTATGTGACTAGCTGATTTTTTTATTCATAATGTCATAAAATACTAGCCTCATTATATAGGTATGTATGCATAGGTGCTCAACCCATGGGACAGTGGGAACACGTCTTTCTACTTTGCTTGTAAAGAACGGCAAGCTTTATCCAAACCATGTATTGTAGGTTTTTTGCATCTCACCTTTTCATTTATAATTAGGTGTCTCAGTGTACAAAGTAAAGAAAAGCTTTTTAAAAAGGAATTAAGTGTAAGGATGCTAATATTAATCCTTGAAAAACAATGCATACAAGATAGTAGGGATGACATTTGCATCATCCCTACATAATAGCACAAGCACACAGTGTAGTAGAATGTTAACAGACAAAAATAGGATAAATTATACTCAATTGTGATTGAATAGTTATATATATATATATATTTCTCTGTATTAACTCTTGCCTGTGCTATTACATAGGGATGATTCAAATGCCATCCCTACATTTACTTCCTTTTTAAAAAGTTTTTCCTTAATTGTTTGCTTGTTTTGTTTCAATAGACATGGGAAGGTTGTACTTATAAACAAGTTCTAAATACAGTGAGGTTCCAACTGTAAAAAATGGGCATGAGGCCACAAATAGAGGAATGAGCAAAACTGAAAACATTCTCCTTACAGATGAATCCAAGATCAATTTTTAACAACAGTCAGTGGCAAGGAAGAGAAAGGTATCAAAGTCAGTGTTCAACATCTACAGTTTGAGGCTGGATTTGGCAATGGAGTTAGTGATCTTCACAATTTTGATACTGTAGCACCTTAACTGCTGACAAATTAGACATATTATGATCCTTAATGTATTGGTTATTATATTTATTATAACTAATTTTAATCTTTAATACTATTTTTAGAACTTTCTTTTATCACAAAGATTATTTCACATTGTTTTAATTTAGTTTATAGAATTAGGATCAACCTAAATATAAGTATTACTTTTACAACAGCATGGTAGTTCATAATGGGACATTTCCCATGGTTACCAGATTTCCATAGTGACAAACTGGGACATTTTTTTTTTTTTTGCCTATGGAATGAACTGTATATAACAGCACTAAAAAAAACATCTTAAATCACAATAACACACTTTTTACCATTTGCTAAAATGGGAGAAAATGAAGAGGTGTCATTTTGGCTTGGTTCCAAATGTACATTTAATAAAGTATCCTTTATCTACAACATTCTTTCATCCTGTGCTGAGTAAAGTATGCTGAAGTCTTATTGCAAGGTCTCCCATTACATGTATTGTTGAAGTGTAGGTAAATACTTATTTGATTTCTTTAACTGGGTTGGAAATGTTATTTGATTCAAACTGCTATGTGGCATATCATGGAATCAATATCAACCTGTTTACAACAGGTACATATAAATTTTTAAACAAAGTACTTCCATGCTAGTGCAATAAAGAAGAGAACAAAAAATGTTGCAGATAAAGGACAATTTATTAATTAGATATTTGGAACCAAGCCTGAACTTTTGCAGTATGCTTACAATTGGAGGTATTTCTGATATGGTACTTCCCCCCACTCACATGATTAGCTATTCTCGTCCGGTTTTTGTTAAGACTGTTTCTTAACTTCAACTTTAATCCCAGTTTATTACAGTTGCATTGTTATTTATTATTTCGATTATTGGTTCACTCTTCCTTATTATAAATTCCAAAGTTCATGTTACCACTTCAGGGGTTTCACCTGCAACAAGCAGTATGTTTCAGGCCTCAGGTGTGGGCAACCCAACGGGAGATTTATCCATGTTTACTTGCCGGGAGATTGAACATGATATGGGTCAACCTCTGTCTCTGGACCTCGCCCCACTTCTTCCAGAACAAGCTGAGCCTGTTCAGGCGGATAAGGACTTGGATTGCTCATTTACACCTCCTAATTTTACCGTGCCTTTCCATGGCCTGCCTGAGAACTCACTTAGGCCTAATTAGTGAAGCGCATGAATGGATTAACAAGATTCCCATTGTCCCTATCTGCTATCTAGCGAAACCACAGCCAAGGGAACGGGCTTGGAAAAATCAGCGGGGAAAGAATTATCACAAAGATTATTTCACATTGTTTTAGTTTAGTTTATAGAATTAGGATCAACCTAAATATAAGTATTACTTTTACAACAGCATGGTAGTTCATAATGGGACATTTCCTATGGTTACCAGATTTCCATAGTGATGAATTGGGACATTTTTTTTTCCTATGGAATGAACTGTATATATAACTGATTTTTCCAAGCCCATTCTCTTGGCTATGGTTTCGCTAGATAGTAGATAGGGACAGTGGGAATCTCGTTAATCCATTCCAAGCTGTGGTTTCGCTAGATAGTAGATAAGGACAGTTCCTTTGGCTGTGGTTTTGCTAGATAGTTTTCCAAGCCCATTCCATTGGCTGTGGTTTCCAGCGGCATGGGTTTTGGATGTAGTTGACTTACTGAGTACGGTCCGTCGCATCCTAGCCACTGTACATCTGTGAGCACGTCCATTGTTTTACCCACCTTTATACATGGTGGAATTGAGTTACATATATATTTACATGGTTAGGATCACTATCCTGCCACAGTTCTCTCCCACTTGAATGTGCTCCTCTCTTTTTCCACTCTTATCTACTACACATTTTATGGATGGACAAAGGATACACCTGGTTCGGAAGTGGTGTGGTTCCCCCTTATCAGATCTTTGGATCTGATTCTTTCATTTCCAGGGGGTATCCTTTGGATGCTTTTAGGGGTACTTCTGTCATTCCCTTGCTTCAGTTCTGCCTTCTAATCAATGTGGGATTCTTGCTAATCTTGTGAGAAGAGTGAAGCACCGTATCGAAAGCTATAATTTTTTCTATAATGAAAATGTTTTTCTGATAGGTACTTCCCTCCTGTCACACTTCCCACCCTTCTTCCCCACTTTCCTCTGATGCTTACATTTTCTGCCAAACCTCTAAGTGATAGTTTGGTAGAGGCATATAGAGGG